TTTTCCATTATCCCAAGATAAACCCCATATTCTATCTACTTAAGGGGGACTACAGAGTGAAGCTGCTCCTTGCATCTATGTGGGAGCAAACAAAAGGACAGGATGTGTGTGATGAAGGCTTCAGACAAGATGTGAATCTGCCTGGGCTTAACCATGCCTTTATTTACGAATGGCTCCCCAACATGCACGCATTCTGCCGCAGTATGGCCATCTAACAGCACAGTACAGGGAATGTCGAGTCGCGCTCCAGGACTGACATCGTGGATGAGATGCAGGTCACTTATCCGCCGTCCCCGCCCTCGCCAGCTCCAGCAACACCGTGGGATGAGGACACTGCGCGGTTCTTCGGTCCATTAAAGGAGGATGATTACTATTATAAGTAATTTTCCTACGTGTTTTGCTTTTATTATTGCTAGTGTTATTATTATGAATATCGTTCTTTTCAGTATTGTTAGTAGGGAGCGGACCGCAAACACTGCATGCTAGGCTTTTCGAACAACACGCTATTGATACAGGATCACCAAGCAGATCTGGCCACAATCTGTGGGGTTTAGGGTTCAGGGGGGCTCTTGCGCCAGAGTGGCTTGCTAAGCTTGAATTCCACAGCTACCTGCATGGGAATCCTAGCAGCTTTTTGGAAAGAGCGCTGAAGAGCTACGGCAGAAGCTTCGTTCAGGACACGATGATCATTCACCACGTGCTGCCAGGTGTGGTTAACATGGGCCTCCCAATGTATATCTGGATATATGAAACATCAGCTCCCATTTAGAGGGCAACTCTTTGCTCCGGCGTTCCAAAAGGGTATCCCAGCTTTGGTCAACAACCACAGTTTCTCATCTCCTGCCTGGGCCGTGTCTAGCTTTTTTGATATTCTGAAACTTTGATCCGCACTTCTTGGGGCTTTGTAGCGTTGGCTGAAGACCAGCCCCACAAGTTCAGGATTAGTGTTTTCAATCAGTTCAATAGAGCCCAAACCCCCCAAACCCTAGACTGTTCCAAATTTTGGCCTTGTTAGGGTCATTCGAAAAATCAGAGCGTCTATGAAAGCGTCTCGCAAGCTCCGGGCCCTTGGAATCCTGCAGCGGGAAGCGCCGCTACCCCATGTGAGTAGTATTTTATTTGGGGATACTATGGTACCCAATATAGAGTAAGATTCTATCCTCCCTTTGGGGTATAGTATTTTATATAAGGAAGATAATCTTACTAGGTTCAACCATCAAAAAAC